AAAAAAAAAAAAAAAATAGGATGGGCATATGAGGTACAGAGAATCTCATTCAAAACATTCATAACTATACCAATTACCAATAATAAGACTCAGCAAAACTGCCATTATCCAATTTCTTAGTCTACTGTCTTTTAACCTGATGGCAGTTGGAGTGGCCTTTGTGCTGGGAAATTGTGAAATTTACGCCAATTTCCTTTCTTCCTATTACCCGCAGGATCTTTTGTTGTTCAGAAAAATATTAGCAAATAAAGAAAAATAAATAATATAACGCATAATTGGATCGTCAAAGGCTTTTCACTATATAAAAAATTGTTACAATCATATAGAATTCACTCACCAACCCAATCCCAAAGTATTACAAAGAAAAAAAATATTTTTCAATAGCCTTGAACCTTTTTCTTATCTCCAAGCTATAATATTTTTCTCTTAAGGATGTGATAATTAAAAGAGGAGAAGAGACATCTATTTATAGAGCCTAAAGGAGGCGGAAGATAAGGAGGTGGAGGTAGAGATTTCAATTCCAAATTCTCCCCTTCTTTGACTTCTCAAATCTTAACCAAGAAGAAAGAATGTCAATTATCCTTAAACCACCAATTTTGACTAAATGAGGCAAATATCTAACACTTTGTTTCTAAGCAGTTGTCATAGTTACTCTTCTTACAACTTCAGATTTCTCAAAAATGTCTCTACGTCAAAAGATGAAGAATACCTTATTTGCTTTCTCCCTCAAAAGATGCTTGGGGGAATTTGAACATTTCACCACCACATCGTCCTTTTCAGAAAGAAAAAAGGATGCAACAACAGAAAAGTGCTCCTCATTTTTATCCTTAAAATTGCCTCAAGGACACGAACGGCTTTCATCTGGACCTGACACACATCACATTATCTGAAAAAATATTTCAAGTGAAAAACTTAAAAAACAATATCATCTATAGAAACAGGTCTGCTCGAAATTAAATTACTAGTAACAATCAATTAACATATCTATAAAATGCAGGATATACACACTTTTATTCATCAAACCCCAAAAAAAAAAAAGAGGACATAAAAGTGCAAAACCTGCCAAAGTGGTGCTTGAAGCTTTGATTCAAGGGCACACCCTTGAACCTCAGTCCCCACTCGTTGTTTCTGCAGAGAATGCACTGGAATCTTGACCCCAATACCCAGAACTAACATTGTTCAATAAGCAGGAGGGATTCTGAGTTTCATTATGTAAGCCAATGCCTTCATATCATATGGGGCTCTTTCCATTACTCTTTTTAAGTGGATGGGGATTGATGTAAGCCCTTGCTTTATCGTGGCTGTACCAATGTCAACCACCACACAGAGAAAGAACTTCATATCTTCTGATAGAATTTCAAAGTTGGTGTTCTCAAAACCTTATATTCGACTACCAAGAATATTTTCCACGGTTGCAGATTTGTTGTCATCGGAAGCAAATATGGCAGATAATGCTTCCTGTGCTGTTTCTCGGACAGCCTGATTCAATGCATCACCCTTCAGAGGACCCGGGTGGCTCTTGTAGTGAATTAACTGACGTACAGCCACCAAATTCCTTTGCATCTCCTTTGGTAGCCTGCACCTGACTTTCCCACTGCATACTTGATCGCCCTCAATGCCTACACCAAAGAAATTTGAATTTCAGGACCATTCCATTCCATGTACCTGACACTCGTAGAAATAAACTGCAAAAAAAAATAAGAAAATAATGAATATCTTAGTTGAGGCAGAGAGCATACAAGTAAATGCATACAAATATAACTAATTTACATGAAATGCTTTCAACTATTCAAATCAGCAAGAGTGGGTAAGTTCAGTTCAATAGCTGAACCTAGAAGAAAGCACTTACTACTCCCACAAACTTTAAGCAATATATATATCAAACAAAGCAACCAAGCTGCACAATGCAGACTGGATTGGATTGTTATGTCTTAACTCTCAATCTTTGGTAGGTTCTACAATCTAATATGTACTATGTCGAAGCCAAAAATTAGGAACTATATATGCCTGCATAATAAAACCAATAAAAACCTACCTATCAACATTTCTGGAACATTTAGTACACTTATTTCCATTGGTTTAGTCGTGTCCAGGTTCAATTAAACATTCTAATAAATCCAAAATCATTTTAAAGAAATCCTTTCTGTGTTTAATACAATCATTCCACTTATTCTCAACAGTTTGGATCAAGCATTCCCAAAGGTGCAAAATCACAATTAACATTTTGGCTCAAGCTCGTCAGCTTAATACCTTTGAAGAAAGCACTCCCAATAGTGCATATCTGCAAGATCACAATCACCATTTTGGTTTATGTTTTACTTCTTCTAGTTTAAGAAGCTTGAGGGAAAATAGGAAGTTTTAACTAACTGCCAAATATTCAGGCAAATACTTAGACATGATGGCTTTCCTGCATGCCAAAAGTAAAGGACAACTCATAAACTAAAAAAGGTCCACTCTCTAAACACATAGGCATGTCATAAGCAAATTATTCAATCCTGTAATCACTTAAATCAAACGAGAAAATTCCTCTAAGCTAAGTGGGCTTATTATATAACATAAAAAGAAGGCTCCAAAACAATTTATTTGATCAAATAGCACAACAAATTACACCCGAAATACTAATTTTCAATAAAACATCCTTAAAACACAGATAATAGATCAACTCAATTCGCTAAAATATGTTAGGACATTGTGATACGGGACACCCAATTACAACCAAAGTAGAAATGAGATAACCAAAGAAAAATGATGAACACAATAATTTTACGGGCAAACTGTAGAAGGATTTCACTATAGTAAAAGGATTACAATACTTTCTCTCTATAGATAAGGATAGCACAATTGACAATACTCTCTCTCTTATAATAGGAGAAACACACACTCTGCAAAAGAAAAGACTAAAACTATTTAGGAGAAACTCACTATTATTTTATCCCTAAAACTCTATCTTTCTCTCTGTATTTTTCTGCACTCCAAAATGGGATTATCCCATATGTGTTGTAGCTTACACATATATATAGAGGTGGTGAGGTGGTTATCCATTAGCTTTGTAGCTATCCACTTGTCAAGAAGATAAAGCCAAAAGTCTTAATGATTAAGAAAGCCAAAAGTAGCTTAACAACCAACATTTCTCCTACTTAAAGTCATTTTTGCCATAACTCTTCTATCCTTTCTATATTTGTCATTTCTTGCTGTTTACATTTCTGCTAGGCCAATAGAGGGCCGACACCAAGTAAACTTGTGATTGTTGATTAGCTTTGTTAACATATCTGCTACAGTATCTTTAGTATGGATTTTCTATATATCCACGCTTCCTTCTTCCACCTTCTCACGAACGTAGTGATATTGAACTCGTATGTGCTTTGTCTTCGAGTGTAATGCTGGATTCTTTGCTAAGTTTAAAGCGCTGTGACTATCACAAAATAGAGTAATCTTCTCTTATTTGTGTCCGAGCTCCTCTAGTAGCATTTGCGAACATATTGCCTCTATGTTAGCTTGTGTAGCTGCGACGTATGCTGCCTCTGTCGTAGAAATAGCCACGATAGACTGCAGTTTCGAAACCCAACTTACAGCTCCTCCAGCAAGAGTAAACACACAACCTATGGTGGACTTGCTCTTGTCAAGATCACCTGCATAATCTGAATCAACATAACCTCTGACAGTAAAATCTGGTCCTCCATAACATAATGCAGCATTTGAGGTACCCTTAACATATCTCAAGATCCTCTTTACAATACTCCGATGCTCTTTACCAGGTTTGGCCATGTATCGACTAACCGCTCCCACTGCTTGTGTAGTGTCCGGTCTTGTGCAAACCATAGCGAACATTAAGCTATCTACTGCTGATGCGTACAGTAATCGAGATATTTCCATCTTCTCTGCTTCTTTGCTAGGACTCATACTTGAGGATAACTTGAAATTAATAGGAAGAGGGGTAGAAATTGGCTTACAATCTTGCATATTGAAGCTCCGCAAGATTTTCTTCAAATAGTTCTTCTGTGAAAGCCAAATCTTCCTTTTATTTCTATCTTAATAGATTTACATCCCTAGAATCTTGTTTGCTGGTCTCAAGTCCTTCATTTCAAACTCACTAGCTAACTATGCCTTCAACTCTTTAATACGATCTTTGTTGGGGCCTGCTACCAACATGTCGTCAACATACAACAGCAAAATAATGAAATTACCATCACTAAATCTCTTGTAGTAAACACAAGGATCTGAACTAAGTCTGTTGTATCCAAGGCTTATGATGAAGGAATGAAATCTCTTATATCAACACCTCGATGCCTATTTGAGACCATATAGAAATTTGTTCAGCCTGCAAACCAAGTTCTCTTTTCCTTTTTCTTCAAAGCTTTCTAGTTGGAGCATATAAATTTCTTCTTTTTCTTGCAGTTTATCTTTGGCAAATATTACATCCCTGCTGATTATCACATTGTAGTAGTGGGATCCCACAGGTAGTACCTCTTAACTCTATCAACATACCCTAAGAAAATACGTTTAATGGATTTTGGATCCAGCTTTGATGTTTCTTAGGTATTGTATATAACGTACATAGGACTTCCAAATGTATGTAAGCGAGAATAATCAATTAGCTTACCAGTCCACATCTCAATTGGCATTTTAAGATCAATTACGGTTGATGGTGATCGATTGATCGCATAACAGGAGGTCTTAACAGCTTTTACCCAAAATGACTAGGCCATCGTCGCAGTTCTCAACATCGCTCTTGTCCGTTCTAACAAGGTCCTGTTCATCCGCTCTACTACTCAATTTTGTTGTGGAGTGTACGCTACTGTAAATGCCTCTTAATACCTTCTAGTTGACTGAAGTTATCAAATTCATCACCGATATATTCTCCTCCATTATCTATCCTCAAACACTTGATCTTCTTTTCAGATTTAAGCTCGACTCGCGCTTTAAATATTTTGAAAACTGAAAATACGTCTGCCTTTCTCTTGATTGGATAAACCTAACATCTCCTAGAGTAATCATCAATAAAAGATACAGAATATCTTGCACCTCCTGGGATATAATCGGTACTTGCCAAACATCAAAATGGACCTGCTCTAAGATAGCTTTACTTTTAGCAGTGGAACTGCTGAACTTCAATTTGTGCTGCTTACTAGTAACACAATGCTCACAAAGGGTAATAAAACCTTTTTGAGCCATGGAAGAAGCTTTTGTTCAGCAAGAATCTTCAAGCCTCGTCCCGACATGTGATCAAGTTTACGGTACCACATCATCGTTAATTCTTTTGCCGAACTTGCCAACACAGTAGATGCTTATCCTTCTTGTTGTGTTTTTCCTTTAAGCATGTACAAATTTGCAGCTATCTTTTCTGCTTTCATCACCACAAGCGCGCCTTTAACTATTTTCATGATCCCATCTTGAATATGAGCCTCGTTCCACTTGCTATTGTCGGTGATCTCCTCGGGCCTGTCTCCAATTGCCGCCAAGCAGCTATCTTTTCTTAGCTTATTTTTAGTTATCTACTTGCCAACTTTATCCATTAGCTTATTTGTAGCTATCAACTTGCTATCTTTATCCATTAGCTTATTTGTAGTCTTCCACTTGCCAACTTTATCCATTAGCCTATTTGTAGCTATCCACTTGCCAAGAAGATAAAGCCAAAAGTCTTAATGAATAAAAAAGTCAAAAGTGACCTAACGGATAAGAAAGTCAAAAGTGACTTTACAACCAACAAAATAAACAAAACCTTCTGTTTGACGATGGGGGATTTGTTCTGCAAACGTTTGAGGGTAAATTCAGAAACTTCCTTGACAACTAAAACGTGGGACGACGGCAATTCACAAATCTCCTCCAATTTGTAGACAGGTGTAACCTTTTCCCCGTCCAACGTCACACCGTCTATCATTCTCAACCTCCAATAAAAAAGAATCCACCGCACTTCTGCTCTGATCCATCTTTACTTTTTTTATTCAGTGATAAATCTAAATTCAACAAAAAGATGATTTTGATCTGATTAACTAAAAATTAGGCCCCAATATTTTTTTAAAATAGAATTTGTAATATTTTGAGTTTTTGAAAATGTTTGATTAAAAGTAGTAAAAAGTTGAGTTAATTGTCCTAATGATCAATGGACTTTATGTCTCTCTTTTATTGTTCAAAATTAAGATGTCGACATTAAACTTATCCAAACGTTACTAGCATAACATTCGTTAACAATTGCCATGTATTCGATTATTTACTAAACTTTGAAATCGGTCTTTTATTACTCACTAAAATTTGAGATAGTCAAATTTTGGTCACTAAACTTATAAAAATGAAGTCGATTTATTGATTAAAAAATATGTACAGTAAAAAAAGTAGAGATTTGCTACATGTACATCACATTGTACATAAGGGTCTACACCCCCCCTCACATAAGTGGGTCCCACCCCCCTGTGAAGGGGGTGTAGACCCTTATGTACATCTTGTGATGTACAAGTAGATATTTCCAAAAAAGGAATAAAGTGGACAATTGAGTTAGTGTTGTCGATCACACGAGAAATGATTGCGCAATTACACAATAATTAAATTTAATTTTAACATTTTTGTAGAATTTTAAGCTATTTTCATCATATGAAAAATTTAAATTTATTGTTTGTTTCGTTGTTCAAATTAAATTAAATTTTGGATTTTATAATGAAACAAAGAATAAATTTAATTAATAAATTTTACTGGTTAAACACAATAACATTTATTAAAATTTGAGTTTTTGTAACAAAACATACAATCCATTTAATTAAATTTATTGTGTGTTTTGTTTCAAAATTTCATTTCATTTAACAACGCGATGCACATTAAATTTCAATTTTCAAATGATTAAAGGGTTAATTTCACAAATGGTCACTGAAGTTACCTGAAATTTTCAAAATGGTCACTAAAGTTTCAAAGTTTTAGAAATGGTCACTGAAGTTTGAAATTTCTTTCAAAACAGTCGCTGAATTTTCAGATTTTTTGGCCAAGTTTGAGCCAATTTTTCGGCAACTTCTGACCACCAAAACTGCCGATTTCGGATATCATTGGAAAGCCCACGATGTCCTTAGTTACTGAATTTTCAGATTTTTTTGGGCAAGTTTGAGGCAATTTTTCGACAATTTTCGACCACCAAAACCGCCAATTTCGGATACCGTTGGAAAGTCCACGATGTCCTCTTCAATTACCACAAAAAATCTCTCCAAAACTCCAAGTGATTCTGCCGAAATAAACCCGCGAAGTCGGAAACCGAAAATTGTGAAAATCTGCCCAGATTTGCAAATTTTTTGGGCAAATTTGAGGCAATATTTTAGCAACTTCCGACCACCAAAACCTTCGATTTCGGATACCATTGGAAAGTCCATAATGTCATCTTCAATTATCACCAAA